TGCTCTTGTGAATTTGTTTTACTGACCTTATAGTTGATCCAGATTTATTACCATTGCACAAGTTTATTTGCAAATTACTCATCACCGTATTTTGCGGTCTTTAAATTAGAAACGAATATTTGGAAAGTTTATTTCCATATCTTTAATATTTTAGTCCAAGATTTTGTGCTTGCCCTATTAATTTTAATTTTTTGCGTTTTCAAACGATTATTTTTATAACGGCTAATGTAATTCAGGAAGTAATCACAAAAATGATGTGATTATTATGTATACTATTTTTGAAAGGATTGGAAGCAATATAATATGTCTTGTTTTAGGTCAAAACTATCAGCCCCAATATGCAGATCTTTCAGCAGTGTTCGCGCGAAGCAGTCATATGATTAACCCAACATTGAATGATGTCAAGAGAGTTAGAACACAATATAGGGCACATCAAATAATTCAATTAGAAAATACGTTTAACAACAGCAAATACCTGTCGAGGACACAGCGAATTAATCTTTCCGAACAGCTGAATATGACTGAGAAGCAAATAAAGGTGTGGTTCCAAAACAGGAGGATGAAGCACAAAAAACGAACTCGTTTGGATCGTCCTGTTAGCAGCAGTGACTGTTCCTATACGATAAACAGTTCACCAGCATCAAATCCTGTTCAGGGTCCAAGGCAAATTCAGATGTACGAACATCTTCCACCGTTTACTTTTGGTAGTAATACAATTGAGCCCAATTCTACATGTCCTCAACCTATTCCCAATCAGCTCAATAATAACTTGTCGGCCTCAGAAGAAGAATTGTTAAACCTGTCAGATATGAAATTATATGAATTTGATTTTGACGAAGTTGCAAATGTATTAAATGCTCTTGGTTAAATTTATACTACTTTAAGGGTTAGTGACGTTTCGAAAAATTGTATCAAACTCATTAAAATGAACCTGATTATAATTACTAATACGTACGTATACGTACTTATTATTTCTGTGATGTACCCTACTCTAATACACGATATTGTTGTTGTTATTAGTTAGGCAAATTAAAATGTTCCAAAATTCAAAGGTTAAGTTCAATTTGTATTTATTTTTCACTTAATTTTATCCAGAAGGCGTTCCATGTCAAAGAGACATTACTTTAACCACGTACGTACTCTAAGTCCTAAAATAAGTCCAGTTTGTTTTTCCTATACAGGGTGTTTGGAAAATGCGTTACGAAATTTTTATGGATGATTCTCCATGTTAGAATGGTAGAAAGTCCCGTAGCAAAAATTTGAAATCTGAATATTTTCCTAATTACGACTCTCAAACTAATTTCTCTGCTGATAATTTTTGACTTATTCTGAACAGTTTTTCGTTTCATTCATCAAGCTTATAATTACTCATACATTTAATACCAATTCGTTTCCTGGGTTTCAGTCATTTATTTACTTCGTTGTTTCTGTCTTTTTCCATTCCATAAGACATGTTAAAATTGGCAACAACGTATACACCAGTAAGTAGTTTTACAACACTATAGAATGAGTTCTGGTCTGTTCCGAAATATTGTCTTCCTGATTCCTAACCAGTTAGTTCAATAATTTTTAGATAATTTTAAAATGTCTTAATATGTATAAACTGTAATAACGAAGTAACTAAATGACTGAAACCCAGGAAAGGAACTTGTATTAAAATTGAATTACAGTCAGGAAAAGTAACACGAAAAATTACTCATACTGTGATTTGGTCATTTATATAAATAAAAGCGCCCTTACCAGATTGGTGATTAACTTAACATTTGTAAAGTTGAGCTACGCTGAAAAGGTTCAATTTTTTCATACATAAAATCTTACCTTTGGTATTCTTAGAAGTTAAATATAATATTTCAAACACTTTTACCTCAAAAGAAGAGTAAATGTTCAACTGTTTGAAACGCAAATTTCTACTTTTTTTTAAGAGAGTATTAAATATAATGGTTTAAAATCTATATATAAATATCAATACTTCAGTAGAAAATCTGACAAACTCTTGGACTATTTCTAAAACCAGCTCCCATGTGAATTATCCCACTAAAGAATGGTATGAGCTAGTAGAGATGTTTCGTACAATTGACACACGTGGTTCTAGTGTTAAGAAATTTTATCTTGCAAAGACAATTTAACTTCACCAAAAGGCAATTGGAAGTGGTTGAGAGATTCCAGCACTTTAAAGATTTAAACTGTTGGTCATTATTGCTTACAAATATCAACCTTCTTAAGTGTCTCTCATTATCTTTATTCATATCAGCACCAGGGGGTAGTTCCGGGTGTAACCAACTGTAACTTTCAGAATCAAACTAAGGTGATACTTTTTTACCTGTAGATATAGGGTTTCAAAAATCACGGTCAAATATTTACTGTGAGGAAAAATCTTAATGCTATAAGCGGCTCATAACACGTAGCTCTTTCTAAATTTATTCAGCAAAAATTGTTTGTGATTTTGCATCAGCACGTCAATGCATTACCTAGCCATTTTAAAAATGTATAAAGAAATATCACAGAAGAGAAGCAGCATGTTAAACATTAAGAGTACAAAAGCCTCCATATGAATTACAATACAAGTGCGGTAAACATAAGTATTTTGTTTACGTTGTAACTTGTATAAAAAACTTTTTGTTTTCGTAACGTTCTGCTCCTTCTTGTGTTCGGATTGGATCAGGCAACTAATCGTTTTTTATTTTTAAAGTGGTTTAAACTTGAAGGAAGGCCTATCATTTTCATGTTTTCGAATAGAATTATATGGTACTGAAATATAACGAGCCGTTTCGGTATGTCAGAATGTTCCTCATTTCCGGAGAGATAAATTATTTTAAACTTCAAAGATTGGAAAATTTTACACTTTTTTATCTCTCGTTTTCCAGGTTACGAAAGGTTGCCTGTTGGACAGTTGACAGGAAAACCTTCGGGGTATGAATGTTTAATTCAATTTTTCAATAGCCGATAAGGAGCACAGCCTCACTCTGATCTTGGTTTGCATGCGGAATCTAAATGGGAGCAAGACAAATTATAATTTGCAAAGATGAACGTTTGCCAGTAGATTTGCTTGTTGCTTTCGAAACATATTTTT